TTTTCACTTGAATCGTAAGATAATTTGAATAGATAAGATGAAGGCCCTCCTTTTTTTTCCCGACTTTGTGATCATATTATCTGACTATCCAAGTGGAAAGCAAGTGGTATATACGAAGTTTTAGAAACTAATTAAATAGACAAAGATTTGCGACCTCCAGATTGAAAACGCCCCAATACCAGGAGGTTTCGTAAATAAAATAGTTATAGGTTACGATGAGATGAAGCTATTCACGAAGTTTATGAATAAAATAATTTGATAAAAAGGGTTCTGTACCACGAACTATTAATACCAGAAGTTCACGTTAAATTTACTGATTATGTTTTAAAAAAAAAAACAGGACAACGAACGCATTTTTAAAAATATTTTTCCTGATAATCATCGTCCTCCTATTACATTTGATATTTAAGAAAAAAAAAATATATATTTTGTATCTTTATATTTTATATATAAACACTTTTAATAGTTTGTTTGTTTCTAAATATTTTCATGATTTGTTCACAATTTTAAATCGAATTCAGATATGATTGAAAGAAAATTTCGAGGTTTATATAATACAATCGCTTTAATAATTTCATGATCACCTATATATTCTGTATTAATTATAGTAAGAATAATAGTTTTCTCACTTTTTTTTCCTATGATAATTATATCGTAATGGCATGAAAAATGAAGAGGTGTAAGTGTATATTTTGTTTGTTTCCCTTTTAATTTTTTCTGTTTGTTTATTTTATAAACAAGATACACGGTAATATAATTAATTATTTCATTATACCGCGATTTTATGTATGATTGTAAACTGTAAAAATTCAATATTTTTCTCGTCCAAAGGTTTTATTTAAATATATATTTAAAAAGTGAACAAATAGATTTGTCTTCTAAAGTTGAATGAGGGTTGCGATTCAATATACCACTTATGTGTTCTAGATCTGTGGTTATTGTACTTTTTCCTGCCTCGAAGGTTTGTTATACTTCGGTTCTAACTGCCTCTTTTGCAAGGTTAATGGTCAAGTTGTTTCTTGCACAGCTCTTTCGCCTCCACTAAATTGTATAGCTCCAAGGATTTCTTCACCGATCCTTCTTATCTTGGCCACATCAGTGATCGTTGCATGGCTGCCTCCTACTGACACAAGAACTCATTATAATTGGTAGAACGACTACTGTTTTTGGAGGATCGTAAACCTCAAAGGAGTGCTGGTAGGTTTAGTGATTAGCAGGAGTAGATGGCGGTACAGATTGGATCAGGGGGTCTGCAAGAACTGTCTAATTTACCCTCGCACCTCCTCGTTAGCCTCTCTCGAGGTCCTAATGGTGCCATTAACATATAATGCCCATCGCACACACCATCTGGTTTCAGCAGCATGTGCTGTTCGACCCTTAAAGTCTCTCTGTCTTTCACACCTCTGCCACGACCCTCTGTCGGGATTGATGGTCTGTCTCCTTCTTCGTCGGCGGCCCTCCGTGTCTTCGTGGCCGTATGTCTTCGTGTCTGACGTCTGTCCGGGTCTGCATGCTGCTTGTAAGTGCACGATGTTGACGCTGGCTCTAGTGCGGTCCTTTAATTGTCAGTCTCAGTCTTATAGTTTTCTTTTTTGAACGGACCAATATAGGAAAGGATATGTAGACGTGGGACGTGGTTCTTATTTTTATCTGTACTTAGTAGTAGATGTCTGCCAATTGAATTGTATTAAATTCTATTTGTATATTTATAGATCTAAAAAAAAAAGCAACTAATTTTTGTGTTGGAAGGTGGGGAACCCGCGGACTCCAAACGTTTTTGGGCGATCTTCATTTATCAAGCGCTAGAATTAATTAATATTTAACTATTTAGGTTATTAAAATTTGAAAATCAATGGAATTCAGTATAATATATGTATATGGGTGTTTATTTACTTATTAATAAAAGTAGCAACAGTTAAGTATAAACTATTATTGCGGCTTCCATTATCACTGCTTACTTTTACTGTGGTCTAATGATAAAAAGATTCCCCACCTATGTTATATCTTTTAGTAGATTTATTAAAACTCGTTTTAAACAATAATCCGTTCATGTTTTCAGCCTAACTTGTTGTAAAATAGTAACGGGATCTCACCGTATAATGTGAACTATCGAACTTAAAAATCGGTTTAGCCGTTGGGTAAAAAATCGTTATATACCCTCTAGTGTTTTGATTAAAACACCTTTTAATCAAAACACTCAATCGTATTTTGAGACTGAACTATTTTAAAACCGTTAGGGGATCTCACTGAATAACTTTATTTTTCAGATTTTACTCTCTATTTCAGGTGACTCTGATGTAGTCAAGTAATTATATTTGTTGCATAAAAAAAATAAAAGTATTTTATTAATCTGAAAGAATCCAATTGGCTTCATTAAAAAAAGAAAAGAATTTTCGGTATTTGTCAATGTATGCTTGTTAAACTGCATTTCTGCTCAAGATTCTTATCATATATAATTAGATACGTTTGTTAATAAGCTAAAAGGACAGGGAGTAGGAAATTTGCATGACGGGAGGAATTTATTTTTGTTTTAGATAAGGGAATTCTCGATCTGTGGGAAAGACGAAGTAAGCCATGTGAAATAGCCAGCGAAATATCTGACGATTCCGGTCTATGGCGAGATTGTTTTCTGAAAGTTCAGTTTGTTAATTAGTCGATGACTTTATCGAACAAATGACTCTTTCTTTAATTAATCGACTTCCCAAGAGGGCAGATCTGCGAACGATAATCGATTGTCGAAGGATCATTAATATCGAAATTAGATTGGCTGTCACGATCGGCACCGTGTGCTCTGAATAAGTCCGAACCGCCGCTTCTTCCCTTGAGAATGGCAGCGCTACTGTCTTGGCAAACCGATCCTCGAGGACACAAATAAAAGAAGTCATGCTGGACCCTGACCAAGGACTCCCAATGTCATCTGCTTCCGAAATACTGATTTCTTTATTCCTTTTTTTTTTGGTCATTTGTATTCTGTTTGCTGAAATATAATTCTGTGGTTTGCGGTTAGATGGAATTTCTTTATTTTATTTATTTTTACTGCCAACAGAAAGTGAATATTTCAGCATATATTTTTTGAATTATTATTCTGAAGGCATATGTTTCATCTGATGGAGGATTGTATATAATTAAATGAGGGGGAAGGAAGAGAGGAAATCCAATTTTGAAGTGAATCATTTCTTATTTATTGAGATTTTATTTAGTATAAACATCTTTTACATCATTATAATACTATATAAATAAAGCAAAATATCATTTGTGTATTGTTCTTAATTCATGTCTCTAGAAAAAAAAAAAAAAAATCAAGAGGTGACAATGTATTTGAATGAATTTGAGTGAGCATTTATTAATTTGTTCCTTAATATCTTCTTTACTCGTGGAATAAACTGCGCTGTTAATTTTTGTTTAGTTTTAATCGAAATTGCCCAAATCTTTTTCAGATGATTTTTATTAAATATTCATGGGTTTTTATTCTTGGGGCAGTACTTTAAAATATATGTTCTCGAATTTTATATCTTAAATGATGAATTTGTTTAATTAATACATGATTTCTTTTTTCTGTTGGCATTACAAACCCTGCAGATCTTTTACCGCCTTAACAAGCTCCATCTCTGCCTGTCTTATAATTGTTACTATATTTGTTAAGAATATAAATAATAGCTGTGAAATGTGGTCGTGAGTGTATATATGGAATATGTATATATGGAATATATATATATATATATATATATATATATATATATATATATATATATAGAGGTATATATGGAATATGGAATATCTATATATGTAGATATGGAAAGACAGGTTATTTTATACTTATGTTTACTATATTCTTTTGATGTGGTTATACTTACCATTTTTGTTTAAAATGAAATTATTGGTACTTCTGACTCTTTTTAAGAGTTGTAACTTATTAATAACTAACTAAAAAAAAATAACTTACTATTTTAAAAAGTCGTAACTTTACTTACATCTTTTTTTTTTTTTTTTAAATCACCCCTTAATGTATCGATATTAATATTTATTTTATTTATTCTATGACTTACAAAAAGAAATTTTTGAAATATTTTAATCCATATTAAAAAAGTTTCAATTAGTCGATCCTGTCCGATTTTACCTGTTTGTACTTTGTACAAAAAGTTCAAAACGCCTTTAAAGAAATTTTCTCTTCAAGAACTCAAGAAAAGTTCCATAAAAAGTTATACAGATAGCAATGCAGTGTTATAAAGTAGTGTTTTGTAAGTGTCCAAAAAGGGCGAAACGTTACATATATTGTTGATATAATCAAATCATAGTTGTTTTTTTTTACATAGAAATTTTTATTCTTTTTTCTAGGAAGTTGTATGATATTCTTAGTTATTTAGCAATGATTACTTCCATTTAGCAACAATTGAATATATTTGTTGTAATATCAAAATTGCATGTTTATAAGTTTACGTTTCGGGATATTTACTCCCATCTTCAGAACCACAATCCCAATGATCTTGTGGATACAAGGCTTAAAAATAATGTGCTCCATCGTCAATTTCTAATTCATGTTATAATAATCTAGGTATATAACATCTAAAGCAACATCTTGCTTTTAGACTAATTATTGGGTGTCTACCAAACTTGTAAACATGCAATTTTGATAATACAACAAATATATTCAATTGTTGCTAAATGGAAGTAATCATTGCCAAATAACTAAGAAATTGTATTGTTTATGTATTTTTTTAGGAATAAAAGGCTCTTAAATTGTTAATTATTAGTCATATAAATTTTTATAATTTATTCTCAATTAATTAATACTACGAAATATCTTTCAGTTGGTCCCTGATTTATTTTCTCATTGACTCGCTGCCTCGACTAGGAGACGCAATCCCATTACTGCCTCCTCCCAGCGCGATATAATTAATCCAATCTGGAACAGGTTGGGGTCCTTGAGGACCGGGTTCACACAGGGCTTCCCCCCACCGCCCGCATAACGTTATATAAACCTCTCCGGTTACCGCCGCAGGATGAAGGAGATGAACAAGAACAAGTATGGAAGAAAAGAAAAAGAAAAAAAAAATGATAAAAAGAGGATAAGAGAGGCGAAAAGGTTCCCAAGGCGGTGTGACGGGAGGACGCGTGGCTCAATAGTATTGTTTGCTCCTCAGGTTAGGGCCTCGCTGAAGAAAGGACAATTCCATTGAGGATCCTTGGTCCAGGATCATGTCCTCATGTTTACTTTCCACCGCTCAGGAAAACATTGAAAGACCCGCCCTTATTATTAAAAATAAGAAGAGATTTTTGTAAGAAATATATTTCTTAGTATATTCTCTATAGTTGTATGCTTGTTTATATTTTTCACCATATTTCGATATTTATTATCATTATAAGAAATTATATTCGTGTTCTCTTCTAAAAAAAAAAGTACAAAATTGGTACTTACTTTAAAAAATAAGATTAAATGATGACAAGTCGCGACATATAACATTTTCACCAAATTCCTCAGACAAATACTTATATGTTAACTTGGACTAATATTCGACAAGGAAGGATGACTTGGGGCCCACAGGTCAAAATGAAACGACAGACTTTAAACAAGCGATTGAAAATACTGTACTCACTTTTTCTAAATCGAAATTGAAAGTTCGAATAAAACTAAATACATATACATGCCCACTCAAATCCATCTGGACATGCGCCTCTCAGATTTATGGTTCGGCAAAAAAGACCCACTTACAAAAAATATTGTCATTTCAATCCAAAATCGAACGACTTAGAGCTACCAACTATAGACAAACACATATGTACTCTACTCTCGTTTTCATCTCCTATTAAACTATTCGCGTGTCTGTTATAATTCATATATCTGTGGTTAAGTGTTATATATAACATTAAAATTAAAAAGTAGGTAAATATTTAAAAAAAAAATGTTATTATAACAGCAAAAGCCACTTTATAAATCTATGAAATGGTATACTTACTACTACCAATTATATATATATATATATATATATATATATATATATATAATAATAATATAAATATATATATATATAAACAAGAGAGAAAGGTAAGGAGTAAAAATAGAAGAAGAAGAAGTGGGTAGAGGAGGCACGCGACTTAATTACCATCTAAGTAATTGGCGATTCCTATCCGATCACGAGGACTACCGGGAGGTCCTCTACTTCTGCTCCTTTTGCTATCCTCTGGGTCTTCTGTGTCCTCCGTGTCTTCTTATGGTTCAATCTTTACCACCTTCCGTAGTCCGTAGAGCGTGATCTCGGTCAAATCACCTCCTTGCACAACCGTTGACCTAGAAACAGTGCTTTCCCTAAATAGTACTCAACCCCAGAACCTTCATGTGTTGTAGTGGTACTGGTAGTCTATGAAACTTACCGAAGAAATTTGATGGACGAAAACATCAAGTCGTGAATTCTTCCCTTTTTTTTCTTTAGATAGTAGACCGTAACATTTTCTTTTTTTTTTATAGTCCTTCCATAGGTAGAAACCAGACTTGGCAGAATAAAAAAATAAATAATCTTTTTGTGTTTGGTATTTTAAGATGTATAATATAACATACGTTGTTTCTTATTTTTTTTTTTCTTTTAATACAAAATTCAAAAAAGTATTTGTATTTTAAGTACACAAAATAAATTTCCGGACTAAGAGAGTTTCTTTCCTTTGATTCCATTTCTTCCTTTGAAAATGGAGCTTAGACAATTTTTAAGATATATTGTGTTAATTTTATATTACAATCATCTTTAGCTATAAAATTGATCAGCATTAAAATAATTATGGACAAATTTTTTTTTGGTGAATAAAAAAAAGTGCCTTATTTATTTATTTTTTTTTAATAATAACATATTCAAGTATTTTTAGGTTAGGAAAAGAAAATATTCAATATATGTAATATCTTAGAGAATATTGAAAATGAAATAATTTGACAAAATGTTACTTTTATAATAAATTGTTTAGAAATTAAAATAATTTCAACTAATTTAATTCAATTTTTTAAAAAGTATATAAGCGATTTAATCTCAAAAATCTATTCCTTGCATAAAAAAAGCATTTCTTAAAAGAATTAGTTGAACAGCAAAACCTCATAAGACTCATATATTTTATATCTGTACTTTGTTTTTGTAATTTAAATAGAAAATACTTTTGCTGTTTCTTATTTGAGCTACTTCCTTATGAAAGCAATTTAAATTCAGGGAACTCTTGCTATTCCGAACTAATTAAAACCCAAAGGGGTTCGGATTACCGGACGGTATTTTCTTATAATTTATAGTTAAATGTTTTCCTATACCGTAAACTGACTACCTACTTTTGTATTAACAATATTTATTTTAAAAACACAAAATACTTGGTATATTTAAATAATAATTAAAATACCTTTTACCCAGGTCTGATAGAAACAAATGTGTTTCAAGTATTTAAATATGTGTTCAACTTTCTCCTGACACCGGTTATGTTAATGCTGTTCCATTATGGTTAATACTATTCTATGAACTGTTTTCCGGTGATAACTGCCTCTGTGTGGGCTGTTAAGAGTTATAACGTGTGATCTTGTGATCTTGGAATGTTTCACTTCTCCAGGGTACGCCTATGGCGGTACTTTCATGCCCCCGAGTGCCGATTTATGCCAGGGGTACTTCAGTTCAGTGAAAGGGCCATGTCGGATTAGCATATATGGCGAACCTAAGTCTTCCTGGAAGGAATGAGTCAGAATGGATATGATCATAGCTTGGAGTATGAAGTGTAAGGAACGAGATGAAAGCAGATGCGATGAGATTTCGCTCTTTATTTAGTTTAATTTATACGCAGTGAATAAGTCACAAATATAATAATTAAATTTATTTAAATAATATAACAACATATTTAATCAAGGATAACGTATAAATATGTTTGATAACTGTACATAGTGTATGTATTAAAATAAACAATAGAAGATGGTCCGAATCATGGTGAAGAACAATAAAAAAAAAATTTAACTTTTTATTTATATTTTAAACTGTTTCATTGGCCGTGGGGCGACCCTGGGTAAGTAGACCTTCCTGGAGCACACCCAGCCTCTGTAAAGTGGGTATCAAAATAATTAATTAAGGGGGAAAATCTGACGGTTGAGCGTGATCTCGGTCAAATCATCTCCACGCACAACCGTAGACCAAGAAACAGTACTTTCTCTACGGAACAGTACTTTATAGTACTGAACCCAAGACCCTTCATGGGTTGTAGTGGTACAGGCTTTATTATACTTTGAGCTTGATCAAGTACCTCTTAAGAATTATACCTCCACTCATAAGCTTATGAAGAACCCCATATTTTTTCATCAAGTTTTATTTTTCATTTTGCAATCAGGATAATGGACTATTATACTCTCTTGGTATCTGACATTCATTATCAGTTTCCACTTCCAAACCTCTCCTCTTTAAACACCTACTCCTTTCCCAATCCGACTAGTTACGAAATATACCTAAGAAAACTCTTTAAGTACCCTCAGAAACTATTTCTGTTTACTTATGTTATTTATATAATAGGATTTTTTTTTTCTCTGCCTCTCTTTCTGTTTTTTTATTTTTAATTAGATATTATTTTGTAAATATTCAAGTTATGTATGGCTACACTGGCTTTTATTCTGCATTTTAATTTATTCTGAAGGGACAGCGGTCCCACAATAATAAAAAATATTTTCATTTTTATTTTCATCTTTTTATCTGCGTAAGTGTGGGTATTTTGGTCCCGTGAGTTCTCCTACAAAATTGATTATTTGACCGGCGAATGTTGAGAACCCGTAAAAATTAACATGCAAAGACATCTGTCGATACTTTCATTTATTATAATTGATTAATTAATTTATTGTACTAAACTGAAGTAAATTTAGTAAACCGATTTATTTTAGATAAAATATTTATAATAATTTATTTTTAGTTTAAGAGTGAAATAAGTAAGATATTTGAATATTGGCAGGGTGTTTAGTATTTATTATTGTTGAGATAAGGCTAACCAGAGGACAGGCTGGAACACGGAGCTGGTATAATGCGTACAAGAGAGTCCTGGCAGGCAGCCCTTGTAGCACTCCTGGCTACATCTGTTCCTGTCCTTACAGCGAATCCTTCGTGTACCGCTAGGGTTCCCAGGCCTTGGCGGTCTGTTCTTAATTATAGCGGATCGATCCCTCCGCAGAGATAAGACCTGGATGACCGGCCGTCCTCGGGAGTTGCGACAGTCGGAGACGTGGAGTACGTCAAACGTCCACCCGGAGGGTTGTGTAAATGCTCCTCTCACCGACCAAACACGGCCTCCTGGATATTACCATACCCTGGTTAGCTCTTGTACTTTCTTCTTCGAGGTTCCTTATCGAGAGGAGATGGCACTCCTCCTAGGTGAAACCGCCTTCCTTTTAGAGGCCTCCGTGTACTCTCTTAGTCCTCCTCCGCACCCTTGTTATCGGCGCAATGGCTTTCTGGTGCTGATTAAGGCGAGTGTGGAATCAGCGGTGCCTTTGCGGTTCGCATTCTCTCGCGAATCCTATGTCTTATTTCATCTGAAAGGGTTCCTTATAGATCCCTTACATACCATTTAACACAATTTATTTTTAACCTAGAATACTTATTCATTATTGTACAATAATCTAAATTATCTCAATGACTGAGTTTTGACTGTTTATTATACATGAGTACTAGTACGGTTCGTGGAGGGGGGATTTATAGTTATTTTCTTATATTATTTTTATCTTGCCCAAATGTTTTAACAATCTCAATGCCTGATGCTTTGTTTTTTAATTATAAGGCATTTACTATAGCTATGAAATGAAAGCACTTATCATATGCTAAGAAAAAATAGAAAAGAATATTTTATTTGTAGTATCCCAAAATACCAGGGATTGTGTGGAAAAATTATCGTTCAGAAAAATAATGCGAAATATTTGGATAATTTCTAAAAAATCCTTGAAAAAGTTGTTTATACTTTCAACCAAGTAAAGAATATTTTTTTACTTCCTTCTTATTTATTTGTTTTCCAATCTACGACAAAGAGAAGATACTGCCTCAGTGACAGAGTTCTGATATTCTTTTTTCCATATGAATTTAATAATATTCTGGATAAATTAAATATACAAGGGAACCAGGAAATTAACAGAAATTTCGTTAAAGAGAAAAATTGGATGATGTACGATAAAGTAGTGAAAATGCTGATAATTACGAGAAGTGTGTGGGCTTTTTTTTTTTTTTATTTTGTTGAGGAAAACATTAGATATCCATTTGTATGTATTATACAATCGATGGGTTGATAACCATAATTTATTTTTAATTAATATATTAATTATACAATATTGTATTTCTGATTAAATGGTTTAACCTTTCTGTCAAATTACGAGGAGTCCTTTCGGATCCTGTTAATTGTTCGCAATACGCCTAGCCCTGTTCCCAGAGAACTATCGGCCCTATCTCAGATCTCGGCCCGGCCTCCATCTGGTTATCAGTTCTCTGGTTTTCCTTGAACCTTCCTTTACAAGAGATCCTTAGTCATTACTTCCTCCGTTAGAAAGGTCATCTTGGTCTGCTAAAGATTTGTCTGCTTTAGTTTAAGCTTCGTGAGTTAGGTATATTTTTCTTTTTGACTTAGTTAATCATCTGTTTATTTATGGCATTTACAGAGGGTCATTAATCATTAAAAACACGATTAATTGTTTATCAATCCGTTTTCTGAACTATCGAAGAGTTAAACCTTGATTAATGAATGAATAATTAATTTTTTTTAATGCCAGAAAATAAATTTTTTGTCTTATTATAATATAATAAGAATATTATTTTATATATCAAAATAGTATTATTTTGAGGAAAAATACTATTAATATCATTTTCGGAGATAATACGAATTAAATCAACAAATATGAAACAAATATAAGAAATAAAAATTGATATTTAAATTCTTGCTTAAATTTCCTATTTCCAGCACTTAAACTTTCAATTAAGTACAAAAGACTCATATACATGACTATAATAAGGCCTAGATGGAACTTTGGGGCTCCACAAAACAATCGAATTCCTCTCATATCCAGTACCTTCAAAATCCTTCGTGAAATCTTTAACGCTCCTTACTTTGTCAAATAAAATAATCCGTAACGACCTTAACGGTAACATATATTTCCTATTTAGCCCAATCAGATACTTATCCTTCCATAACAAACCATCCGAATCCTCTCGTTTCAAAACTTGTCTGAAAAGAAGATGGCCCCGTGATCTTCTTATGTAAATATTTTCTTAGTGTGCTACAACAGCTGTAAATATCATGAATAAATATATGAAAAAAAGTTTCCTGCCGATTCGTTGAATATAGATTAGATATAAAAAGTATACGGTAGTGCTCTCTTAATTTTTTATTCTACTTCGTTTTTTTTGTTTTTTCTTGCACCTAACCCATTTCTCGTGTATTTGTTTGATTGGCCTAAATTTACAACCGGTCGAGCGACTGGATTAGCGCTGAGGATGGTAGAACCAGTATCGGAAGATCCTGATGAGACCCAATTACCAGTTCTTGTAGTGCCGAAGAGCTGTTAATGAGGAGGAATGGTTAGGTCCTCAATAGGTGCGCTTTCATTAAAGTCGCCTCAGGTGTTGTGACACTATCTTGTCTTTTCATCTCATCTCTTCATCTCGACCATTTAATGGGGCATGGAGGGTCGATGACTGTGTACCATGTAATTTACCTCATCGCTTGTTTTCTTCTTATATCTTGCTCGATGTTATTTCAATGTTTATTTGCCGAGTTTGTAAATTTCACCAGACAAATTTCGTTGTGTTCGAAACTGTAATAATCACGTTATTTACTCTTGCTCTTAAATCTGAAAACGTTACGAATTATTTTGCTTGACAGTTTATAATTTCTAAATCTATGATGGTGTTGATTATCCGAACTCGTAATTTGCGTGGCCTGTTCGTATTATCAAAAGCTAAATTTAAACGATTAAAAAACTTGTACAAGGTAATAGCCCTGGAGCCAGGGCCCAAAAATCTACCTCATCGCAGGCGAAGGTTTGATTGTAAATTACGAAAGTCTATGTTATTCTGAGTAAAAAGAGTCTTGTCTGCCGTTCCAGAGCTGCTGCTTTAAAAAATGGCGGCTGATTTAAAGAATATTAGGCCAATAATTTGAGGATCGAAACGGGAAATCCATTGCGAAAAATGTGAGAAAAGTTTCTATTTTGTAACTTGTATATATGGGTTTAGACATGTAAAAAACAAAATTGCTAACGCGGGCCACCAAGGGAAAACTTTTTACAGCCAAAAAAGTCAGCTTTTCGATATTTTTTGGGTTTTTCATCTATAACTCCTAAACAATACATCAAAGCGAAAAATGTGTTCTTTAATAAATTAAAGAACGTTAAATTTTGCGTCAAACGAGTACATAAACTTTAAAATTTGGTTTCGTGGTAAGGTATAAAACCACGGTCAACCAACATTGAGTTTTTTCCAAATTTGTCAAAAACTGAGACAAATGACTATAAATGGCCCTGTAAGTTGGAAATGAGTTCCCTAAGAGGAAAAACCCATAGAATCAAAGTTGTAGAGCATCAAATTACTTAGTGCTTCAGACCACACGTTAGAAGTGAAAACATCAACTAAACAATAAATGTTAAGCATTTCATTCCCTTTATAATGAGCTATTATTTATAATTTATATTTTATATTATTAATCAATAAGTATATCAAAGCCCACTACGACGATTACGTAGGCATTGGCCAAGAGACCTGCTGATTTGATATATATTCCGGATGTGATGGGAAGCTGTGAAGCTGCCTAAAAAAAATTGCTCATTGCAAATTTAATCTAAAGTTATACATTTTTTTGTTTGGTTAATAAAATAAATAAAAATATTATTAATCACTATATAATATTCCTGTGTACACATTTACTTGATGTATCTATATATTGTAACACAGTTGTAAATATTTAAATGAATAGTTCAAAAACTGAAAAAAAAAATTGTTACTAGTTACGGTGTGTTAGGTTAGGCAATTTTTCTTAATCGATTTTAGTTTACATATTTTATTTATTCATGTAACTTATTTGTTATCATTTTTATTTTATTTTTTTACTTCAAATTATTGGGGAGGAGTCGAGACGATATTCTCGCCCACTCAACATATTCTCATATATAAATGTGAGTAATTAAATTTATTAAGTTAGTTTATTAAATTAATAAATACTTAATTTATTACTAGTATTTTGTTATTATTCATTGTAATAGGTCTTTTGGCCATATTTATAGTTAATTTATATTTATGGGACCTAGTCCCAGAATAAAGATGATTTTTCTATTCTATTCTCTCTCTAAATATATATATATATATATATATATATATATATATATATATATATATATATTAGTTCGTGCCGTTACTGTTCAATATATGTAAGTATTTATTTTAATCATGACAGGGAATTAGTTTTCAAATCTGTAAAAGGAAATTGAGATCTCATGAACTGATTGCTAAAACAGCTGATGGTATCAGAACAGTTCGGGATTGAAACGGTTACATCAGTACTGTTACGGGGAAGTTTCACCGCCAATCAAAATTCAAATTTATTAAGAAAACAGTGAAACCGAACTGAACTATTTAAGGTACTTTCTAATAGATTCGTATAGAATTAATTAAACGCCTCCACTAAATTAATACGCATGGTACCCGGGACTAATTCCTCTGAGATGTTTAGAAAATAGTAAAAGAGGAATAAAACAGATTGAAAATAAAGAAGGTGAATTGTTTGTAACGAATGAAAGGGGGCGAATGAATCGGAATGGTATCATCAGCCAATCCCATCGCGTTTTACATAACCACTAGACTGTCTCCTCGTCCCCCATTGGTCAATTAGTATCCCGGTTAATTGTCAGTAGTTTAATTGAACAGATCTCTGAAGGTAGTTTTCTTTTTGCAATACCTCAGCCCATTTAAGGTTGTTTCCTTCCCGATTTACATCCAACCTCTGAATAAGAAATGTTCTACTCCAATGTCTTGCAATTCTTTTCTTTTAATTAAATATTCCTTCACTTTATATTTTGTGAATGAACATTTAATTGCGATTATAATTACGTACCTTTTTATAATATTTGAGGTATACTATGACTCCAGTTATTAATTTTTAAAACTGTATATATATATATATATATATATATATATACAGGGTGTAAATAGATAGGAATATTTAAAAGGTTGATAGTAGATATCAAGATCTACAAAAAAAATTCATATAAAAAATTGCCTAATATCCAGCAGAAAAGTAGGAAATTTAATGAAGAGAAGAATAGTTGGGGTGCTCAGTCAAAAAGGAAGGCAAAAAATAAATTATAATATTTATTTTTTAAAAAGTAAAAAATAATAAATATTATAATTTATTTTTTGCCTTCCTTTTTGACTGAGCACCCCAACTATTCTTCTCTTCATTATCCACGACAGTCAACCAATTACCAATTAGGAAATTTAATATTTGTTTGTTTTAAAGCGATTCACGTTTTTTGTTGAATAGGAAGTGAAAACGTAAAAAATATTTGATTTAAGTAACTAAACATTACTCCATAGGAAA